ATGTTTGTTGGGCATCAAAGTTGACGCTGTAGGTGGAGGAGTCATTAATGATGATGATGATGCTGGTGATGCTGATGAAGATGAAGGCATCGCTAATTGTAATGGCGGTATTCCATTGTGATGCATGTGATGAAATTTACTGTTATTATTAGAGTGATGATAACCAACAGATTCCCCATCCTCATCCACATCGACCAATCTTCCAGCCATATTATCAGGAGGGGAAGTATCGCTTCCACCACTATCATCATCACCCATTCCTACATTATTCATTCCTGGATGTAGACCCACTTCACCAGGCCTTCGTTTTTGCACACCACCCCTGGCGAATACCCCATCATGATAAGCTGACATATATTCTGGGTCGATGGTCCAATAACCACCTTTTCCTTTGCTAGCTGTAGACGATGATGTTGAATGACCCAACTCGGTATCTGACCGGGGAACCTTTTTAAAGCACTTATTTAACGAAAGGTTATGGCGAATGGTGTTCTAATGTTTTCATAAAAGGAAAAATATACAGTATGTTAACAAAAATTAAGAAACGATGTGTTATCTTTGTCACACAAGCCATGGAAACAAGTTTGTGAAAAAAAAAAATGTATAATTTTTTTTTCCACAAAAGGATTTCTCAAACCAACAAGACTCATAAACTAGATCAGAAGTCACCCAGAACAAGTTTTATCCTGTAATAGAAATTGGCGCTATTTAACTAACCTGCCAACCAGTATCATCTGCCTTGTACAATTGTGGATAACGCTCCATTATCCATTGATAGACTTCTCGCAAGGTTAAACGTTTGTCGGGAGAATCCAGAATGGCTTGAGCGATTAATGAAGAATAGGAAAATGGAGGTCTTCTGCGTCTTCGAGGCGGTCTGTTGTTCAACTCCGGGGTGACAGTGACAAAAGGTTCGGATATGACATTTTGTGAAGTGTGGCTTCTTTGGAATGGACGCATTGAAGATATTGCACTATGAGGTTGGATTAACGAAGATGGTGATGATTGTTGAGAAGGTGACTGATGTGGATGTGAGCTTGGAGAAGAGATTTGTGGTAGAAATGGAGGGTTTTGCTGTGAATAATACGGTGGTTGACTTTGATGGGAAGATGCTGGTGGCGGCTGCCTTCGTGATGTTTGCTGTTGCGTCGGAGATGATGGTGGTTGATACGGTGGATAGGAAGATGAATAATTTGTCTGAGGGTAATATGATGTGGGTGGTGATCTTTGTG